TAAATGTGTAAATAGCTACAAAAGGCAGAGAGCTATAAAAAACAAAACAAAGTGAGTTTAGAGAAATATAACATAATGACTTTGAATAAGACTTTGTATTAATGAATTGTCTGATAAATGTAATCAAAAGTACAGTTATTTGATTCAGTGTCATGTGCATAATGGATTATGATGTATATAACAAACAATTAAGCAGGATTTGTTATGAAGCCACATCAGAACAAGAAATGATCCTAGGGGGGGGGGGGGGGGGACCTGAAAACAAAAGCAACAGTAGGGATAATACAGAAAGAAGTGGAGGAAGTGACAGAACAACAGGGACGAGGACCAGCAAGAAATTCTGCAGGAACAAAGGGGATTAGAACTGCCCCGTTAGACGCAGCAAGACAGATAATAAGGGTAACAGTGACAGATGCTGGTAGAACACAAAAATGGAAATAGAGCCATCCGTTATTATTAACGACCTGACAGAACCAGTGGGGCAACACACAGCAAGAACAGGGAAGGACACTGGGAGGAGTTGTAAATAATCAGTTACAAGTGTGGGTGAGTGGGGCAATCTAATAAATATAAAACCTTTGTATGATAGGCAAGATTCAACTTGAATGACACAACAGTATGAATATACAGGAGATGTACAATGACCAAGACACAAGGAAGAAAGAAAGAGAAGATGCCAAGTTAATCAGAGAGGAAAAAGCACTTGGAACTTTACAAGTGCAAAACAATGGAGAAAGAGGGAAAGAAGATGTGAATACAGAGCAGGAAGTACAGTTATTGTGTGCAAGACAATGGAGAAAGGGGGAAAGAAGATGTGAATCCAGAGCAGGAGGTAGAGCTATTTAGTGGACCCAGTCAGCCTGGCAAGAAGACACTAATAAAAGCATGTGATTAGGAATAACATTTTTGTAAATTTCACACTTCAGAATAGGACTAGCCCAAAATGATAGCCTACCTCTGCTTCCTGGGAGGGACGTTTGAGGTGATTTTTGTAAATGTTGATCTAACTGCACACTGATATAAAACTGGAGCTTTGAAGAAATAAAACTTGTGGAGGCAACAACTAGCAGAACTACATACTAGGTATGACAACAGTATGAATTACACAGAAAGTGGTAAGAGTTATTTACAATCCTCCACTAAATATAGAAGTCTAAGGGAGGAATACAACTATTGCAATGGTACATGCCTGAAGATCAATCTTAAAGGCAGTAACAGTGGCAATAGAAGCAAAAGCAAACAAATGGTAATCAAGAACCTTTTCAGAGACAAAACATGGAAAGCAAGATTAGTGAACACAATGGACATCAATTTCCTGTGGTAACATATCAAGCCACTGATAAAAGAAAAAAGAATGAACACACCAGGTACAGTACTTTTAGATCTGGTGTTTATCTAAAATAAGGAAGATGTTGACAATATGATGTGCCACTAGGAGGTAGTGACCACTGCATTATAGAGTTCAATTACATTTGAGCACAGAGCGAGGGACCAAAGATCAGGTTGAAGAGCAAGAGAATACAGAGAGGACTACAGGAGGGTTACTCACACGATGCTCAACGCAATATACAACTTGAAACGGTCAGCAAATTAGATGATGGAATTTGTAACCCAGAAATGTGCAGATGCTACTGAACAGCTTATATCTCACAAGAGTAAAGTAGATGAGAAAAGAACATGAAACCTATGGTCCAACAGACAGTATATGGAAGAAAAGAAGGCAAAAAGACATAGAAAAATACTGTGCTAGTATAAAGAACTGGGGACTGAAGCAAATAGGGTGGTACTAATGAGAGCCAGGAATTATTACACCTATATCAGGAGGGCAGTTGAGCATCCATTTGAAAAAGACATTGCAACAAAACCAAAGGACCGACCAAAGTTATTGTTAAGACATATACAGTGGAAAACAACAGTAAGAGACCATGTCATTAAATTCTGGGAGACAGGGAGGAACAACCACAAAGAATGATGTATGCGAAGAACTCAACAAAATATTCCAAGAGATCTACAAACCTGGACCAGATTGGTGCCCAAAAAAAGGAGAGGCAACAGATAGCCAGAAGCAACACTAGATAGAATAGAAAGTCACTGTAAAGACATAACAAAAACGTTGTGAAGCTAGATTTAACAAAAGCAGGTTAATGGTCTAGATCTGTTATCACTGAGGTTACTGATAAAGGGTGCAGGGATTTTGTGTTATGCACTGCTAGAGCTTTCAACATAACATTACAGCCTGAGCCTGGAGATCTCATGGAAATCTGGAAAAAGAGGCAAACATAGTTCCAATATTCAAGAAATAAGACAGACACAAAGCACAAAATTGAAGACCAGTGGATCTAATACTTGCAAAGACCCTTGCAAAACTCTAGAAAAAAGTAACACAGAATAATGGGACACTTGGAGAGTGAAAATTTTGTAACTGAGGGATGACAGGGATTTAGAGAGGGCAAATCATGCATGACAAATATACAGTATTTGAATTAAATGAGTCACCAAAATAAAACACAAGAAATAGGAATAGACTACCTAAAAACTTTTGATATAATGTAATTCCTCACAAACAACAAATGCACAATGTGGAGATAAGCCGAGGAATAACAAGAAAGATACTGAACTGGGAAAGAGAGTTCCTGATGGACAGGAATGAATGGGTCATAATCAATTTATGTAGACAATGCAAAAGTAATGAGGTGAATAAGAACTGAAGGCTGTAAAATACAGTACTGCAGCAGGAGGACCTTGAAAAGCAATAGGAATATACAGATAAATGGCTGCTGGAAATCAATGCACACAAGTGTAAGGAAATGAAGATGAGGAAAGTGAAATAGGAAAACTGTAGGAAACTACTACACCATGAGGAAAAAGCAACTACAACAATAAGAAAAATTAATACTGTAAGTTCAAATACTCCCAACACTAACACCAGAATCTCATTTAAACATGATAACATCAGCAACAAATGCGAAGTTAAAAATATGAACAGCATTTAAAAATTTGAAAACGCTGGTTTTTTTATAGCCATTATACATCACCTATGTAAAACCATTAATGAAGAACGGAACACCCATATGGAATCGACACCTATAGCGAAGAACCAAAAGTACTTTTGAGAAAATAAAGAAGTTTACAACTAGACTAGTGCTAGAGTTGAGAAAGTTCAACTAAAATGTCAGGTTGTGGGAACTCATCTTCACAGCCTAAGAGAAGGGATATGATCACTATATAAAATATATTGAGGGGAATTGACAAGTTGGACAAGAGCAGCTTATACAAGCTTAGAGGAGGAAGGCGGACAAAAAGACACCAGTGGAAGCTGGATACTCAAATGAGCAGGTGAGATGCAAGACAATTCTTGTACCCTCTATGGGTGGTTAACAAGTGAAATGCTTTGAAAGAAATCAAAGCAACTCCATCCACAACTCCAAGAAATAATATGACACAGAACTTGAAAATCAAGAGATGTAATAAGCATGCCAGATATACAAATACAAAATATAAAAGGCTTGGAATTATTGAGAGGCAAGCACATTTGATTTCTAACTATAATCAGTGAATAGAGTTACGTATCAACACTACATTACTGTTCACGTATATATGGAAAAATCCTAAGTTCAGGCCCTAACATAATTTTTTCAAAAGGGAAAACAAACTAATAGAATCCATGAAGTATCCTACAGTTGTCTAGTGAATCATTCCTCTATTCAACTGTATGTAGGTTATCCCAAAAGAAAAGATTAAAACCTCCAAGGATTTAAACCCTAAACTAGAGACTAATGATCCTTGAATAAATGAAATATACAGAAACCTGATAAAGTAAATGGTAAGTGGTAGAATGTGTGAGCACTGAGACACTGAGCACTAGTGGTAGAATGTGTGAGTACTAAGACACACAGCACTAGTGGTAGAATGTATGAGTACTGAGACACTGAGCACTAGTGGTAGAATGTGTGAGTACTAAGACACACAGCACTAGTGGTAGAATGTATGAGTACTGAGACACTGAGCACTAGTGGTAGAATGTGTGAGCACTGAGACACTGAGCACTAGTGGTAGAATGTGTGAGTACTGAGACACTGAGCACTAGTGGTAGAATGTGTGAGCACTGAGACACTGAGCACTAGTGGTAGAATGTGTGAGTACTAAGACACACAGCACTAGTGGTAGAATGTGTGAGTACTGAGACACTGAGCACTAGTGGTAGAATGTGTGAGCACTGAGACACTGAGCACTAGTGGTAGAATGTGTGAGTACTGAGACACACAGCACTAGTGGTAGAATGTGTGAGCACTGAGACACTGAGCACTAGTGGTAGAATGTGTGAGTACTGAGACACTGAGCACTAGTGGTAGAATGTGTGAGCACTGAGACACTGAGCACTAGTGGTAGAATGTGTGAGCACTGAGACACACAGCGCTAGTGGTAGAATGTGTGAGTACTGAGACACACAGCACTAGTGGTAGAATGTGTGAGCACTGAGACACACAGCACTAGTGGTAGAATGTGTGAGTACTGAGACACAGCACTAGTGGTAGAATGTGTGAGTACTGAGACACAGCACTAGTGGTAGAATGTGTGAGTACTGAGACACAGCACTAGTGGTAGAATGTGTGAGTACTGAGACACAGCACTAGTGGTAGAATGTTTGAGTACTGAGACACACAGCACTAGTGGTAGAATGTGTGAGTACTGAGACACAGCACTAGTGGTAGAATGTGTGAGTACTGAGACACAGCACAAGAGCAGATATATAAGCAAAAACATGGGTGCAGTTACTAATCTGGAAATATGTTCTGAATTGTAATGTGAAAGTAATATTTTACTAGCTATATTGCAAATTCCACAGGGTTATGTACTAAGAAATGACCTCCTACATTAAAAACAATACTCTGAATACATTTTATCTAACTGTTAGAAGGTCTGCTTACAAATTATATATATTTAATATTCCTAAATTTCTAATTTTAATATTTCAACAATTGTATATTTGTGAACAATACCTTTGTCCTGTGTGTGGGTCTGTCTCTGCAATCCTGCAATGCATTTGATAATCAATTTTATAGATCTTAATGTCCTCAAGACATAGATATGTTCACAATTATTAATTTCTCACTGTAATTACTGTAATAGAGAATACTTATGCTAAATATGAATTTTATACTTTAGCCCTTCTAGATTTTTCTTGCTAAGCAATGAAATGCATTGTGACAAAGGCAACAAGAACATATACAAATATTTATATTGAAAATATGAACATACAAAATGAGGCACTTGTATGCACAAAGATTAGGGAGCATTACAATATCACATGCAATTCATAAACATTCTGTTGGAGAAACCAAGAGATTTGAATATGGGTGTGTGTGCTAATTACCTAAGTGTAATTACTTAAGTGTAGTTACAGGATGGGAGGTACGCCCGTGGTGTCCCATCTGTTCAGTACGCTTTGAAACTACTAACAGTTTTGACATCCACCATCTTCTCAATTAACTTGTTCCACCTGTCTACCACGCTGTTTCCAAAAGAGAACTTTCTAATATTTTTGGGGCACATTTATTTCTTTAAGTTGAATCTATGACCTCTTGTTCTTGAAGTTGCAGGTTCCAAGACTTCCTCTGTGTAAATTTTGTTGATTCCAGTTGCTATTTTGTAAGTAGTGATCGTATTGACTCTTTCCCTTCTGCCTTCTAACTTTGGCATAATTAACACCTCTAGCATCTTCTCGTAGATCTTTTTTTTTCAGTTCCAGAAGCCATTTAGTAGTATGTCTTTGCACCCTTTTCAGTTTATTAATGTGTTTCTTGAGATGCAAGCACCAAACAACTGATGAATATTCCAACTTTGGTCTCAAAATTTGCATGAACAGATTCTTCAATATTTCTTCATCCACATATTTAAACCCAGTTCTGAAATTTGCTGGAGCAGCATAAGCTCCTCTCACAATGTGCTACAATTGGTCTTCTGGTGACAGCTTACGACCTAGAACCACTCCTAGAACTTTCCTTGTCAGAGGATTTTAATATTAACATAGTTTCACAAAATTTGTAGGTTAAATATAGCGTGTTTCCCCCTATTCTGCATTCCATCGCATGACATTTAATTATGTTGAATTCCATCTGTTATGTGTAGCTACAATCACTTATTTCATCTAGGTCATTTTGGAGGGCAATACAGTCATTGAGGTCCCTAATTATCCCTAGCAATTTAGTTTCATTTACAAACATATTCATGTAACAGTGTATTTCCTCTGATAGATCATGTATACAGATAAACATTACCAGTGCAAGAACTGAGCCTTAAGGTACTCTGCTAGAGACATTTATTAATTAATTTAAGTCAAATACATTTCCTCTGATTACTGCTTGCAGTTGTCAATCTGTTAAAAATATCTCATATAATCATGTTTCTCAGGGAAGAAACATCACGTGATACGGGTCTATAGTTTAGCTGGTCTTCCTCCATTTCCATTCTTACAGACTGGAACTATAATTCATTGTGTCAGGAAACAGGCAGCCAGGGTATATACAGTATACACGTTAGGCTTATATCTACGTCCCCTCCCCAAGGTCGAATTACTGACCCTCCCCAGGATGCAGCCTCATAAGAAGCTGACTAACTCATGGGTACCTACTTACTGTTAGGTGAACAGGTCCATTAGGTGATAGGAAATGCGCCCAACCATTTTGGTCCCGCCTGGGATTTAACCCAGAATTCTCAATTGCGAGTTGAAAACAAACCCTACTATACTACCGGGACTTTATCCATATGTCAGCTAGGTTTCCAATTTGTAACAGTGTTTGGAAGACAATCTGTAGTGGAGTAATAATCTTAAATGCAGATTCCCCTAAGTGAGACTTTGTACAGTTCGATTGGTTTATTTCAGTCAAGCGCCCTGAACAGTTTTCTATTTCTTCTCTAAAGAGTTCAATATCTTGAGGTTATTTTGAGAAGATTTCGGGGCTTAGTGTTCCCGCGGCCCAGTCCTCGACCAAGCCTCCTTTTGTTACACAACCCCAGGAAGCAGCCCGTAGCAGCTGTCTAATCCCTAGGTACCTAATTACTGCTAGGTAACAGGGACATCAGGGTGAAAGAAACTCTGGTCATTTGTTTCTGTCTCCACCGGGGATTGAACCCGGAACCTCATAACTACGAATCCGAAGCGCTGTCCACTCAGCTGTCAGGCCCCAATATACTCAAATTTACCTTCAAAAGTTGACATTGTAGGTGGCTAAAAATCCTGCAATTAGCAATTTTCTATTCCTGGATTCGTTAACCACTGCACTGCGCCAACTGACATAACACGGGGTATAGTGGTGCACCACCTGACTCAGGAGCAATATTAGGATATCATAAGATTCAAAACAAGTGTACGGTAGGTTGGGTACGAGATGGATGCCTGAGACCTCCAGTGAGCGGCAGCCATCTTGAAAAAAAATCCCAGCATGCCCCAGGGCCGCAGATTGGCTCAGTTCTGAGTGAGCAACCATGGCTGGCACATGCGCCTCCGATTCACAATTCCCTGTCGGACGCGGTGTTGAAAGATCACTCTCTGATGATGAAATTCAGACCTTAAGGTTTGAAGAAGATAAGGGTAGTGATATTGATGAAGCAAGGCACGATAGAGACCTAACACAATTGTTGGAAACAAGTGATACAGCAAGGATGAGGACGATACAGCGAGTGTATCCAGTACAGAGTGAGCACCAGGCATGCTGCGACCTCCCAGGCCATCGCCCTAACCATTATTACCACTTGCAGAAACGCTATGCCACCTGTGTGTATCTCTCCAATGTTTGTACTGAAGAAAGTAAGTACTTTTCCTAAATAAATTATTACTATTACTATTACTTGTGTTACTATAGATGATAATAGGTGAATTGTTTTCTGGGTTCAGTGATGCTGCTTCTGATACAAGTAGCATAGGTGAACAGAGTGTTAGCGGCTTTCATGGTGGTGTTACTATGCCAGTGGTGGTGATGCCAGTACAAGCAGCACAGGTGAATTCACGAGGGTTTGTGTGCAAACTACACAAACCACAATTTGACGATACTGATGGTGTTGCACCCACTTTCCCATATATAGGTGAAGATATGAGTGAAAGTGAATAATTTATGGCTTATTTTTGTGTGAGCCATTCATGCAACATCTTGTTGACAAAACCAACAGGTATGCATTGCAACTGCAACTTATTGCAGGTGGCTTATTACCTGTTTCACACACACATGACACGATGGAAGAATACCACTGTGGCTGAATTGTATGTTTTCTTAGCTCTGCTTATGAAACATCCCGTGAAACACGTAATGCAGGATTATTGGAACAAATTTTGTGCTGTTCCAAGCACAGTGCTCAACAAGTACATGTCATGAGACACGTTCCTGATAATTCTACGGTACATACACTTTGAAAACATTGCAAATGTTGATCGATTATTGAGTTTTTAAAGTGCAAAAAGTTTCAGCGATATCAGAAAAAAAATTCACGATTACTTCGCACCAGGACAGAATTTTGTCAATGATCTATTCAAAACTGCCTTACACTTCACAAGCTTGGCTACATACCACCTACAGGTACTAAAGCCAGAGGTGTACGTGAATGCATTGTTTGCAAGCACACAGAACGAAGAAACAGGAAGCGAAAATGTGTGTGTACCTGGTGCATCGAGTGCAAAGTAGAGCTGTGTACCATGGACTGCTTCATTGATTATCACTCTCTTCCGAAGCACTGAGTGTGTAATGCAGTGTATGACTGTGTATATAATGTGTGCGAGTGTACATAGTGTAAATAAATTGAATATTGAGCAAGTAATATTGTGACAATAAACATTTTTTGTGGACACATTAGTGACATGTATCACAGTTCCTTGGAACATTATGAACGTTCTACTGTGTACATATTGTAAAGGATGCAAATGTTCATCAGATACGATAAAAAGTAATTACAGTAGAAAGCATTGAAAATTATTGAAAAAATTAATGGAAATATATTTGTGGCAACTCGCAAATCTTAATTCGCCTGCGTAACTGCCTCTGGGAGCTTCCTGCATGGGCGAACACGTATCGGTGACATCACATCGCATCTTCACGTCGCTACAGCCAAAGTAAGTTGAGCTTTATATTTTTTTAAATGTAAAAGTTCAGGGAAGGGATTTTAATAATTTGCAAAGAAAAACAAAATTGGGGGAAGACTTCAATTTTGCAGTGCCCTAGGATAGTGTGTCCCTCCTCCACCACCCCACATTGTACCCCTCTTTCTTTTCCCCTCTTCCCACATCCACTTGCCCCATCCCCCTCTCCCCTCACATCATCCCCATATTCCCCATTCTCCCCACCCTCCCCCTCTCACCCATATCTCCCTTCCCTCCCGCACCTCCCTTCTCCAACCTCTAACAGACATTTCTATTTATATAAAGAGCAGAGGCACCTAGCTGCACTCAGAACTTTTTATTTTGTCCCCTCTCCCCACCCCCCTCTTCAACTTATTTCCTCCCTTGACTGCCTCACCTCCATACCCTTATTCATCCTTCCCCCTTCCCCTCCCCCCCATTTCTCCCCTCTCCCATTTCTCATAGAAAATTAATTATTAAGAAACCCTGAAACAATAAAATTATGATTATAATTATGAACTGTATGGGTCTCTCAGAAAATATATTATTATGATCACTAAAACTCTAGAGGAATCACACAAAATATTTTACATTAATTAAATGAAAATCACATAGGGGTCTCTATAATTGCTAATATTTGTTAAAGCACTTAACCTAGGCCTACCCCTCCCCAGCCTATGTCTGTTATGTACCTTGGACTATTGCCCCCACAAAGTTGGCCGAGGCTAGCCACAAGCCTCTGGTTTACATCTTTGGACAGACAGGCAGGCCTTCTCTCTTATAGCATATATACATATAATAACCCTGGTTCTTTTATGAATTTGTCTACATATCCATTTTTCAAAGTTTCTTACTACCTCTCCAAATACAGTGGCACCTCGACTTACGATTGCCCCTACTTACGATAATTTTGAGTTATGATGTAAA